GCCACCGACTAAAAAGAACATTAACAGCTCACCTCGATCTTTCCATTATATGTATATATCTATATATCTGCCCTTTGTTTTATTTTTTTCTTCTTTTGTTTTGACCTTTTATTTTTTTTACATATATCTCAACGTTCTGATTAATGAGATCAAGTTATAATTGTATATAAAATAATTGCACTGCTTCCCTAAATTTAACTTTCTGAATTAGCGTCACAATTTATACTCATTATTACAGTAATTTTAAATATTTTACTTCCGATTGAGAGATTACCTACTAACTTGAGGCTAGATGGCGCTTAAAAGAAACAACATTGTTATATGCAATTTGCATTACATGAAATTTATTAAAGTCATGCAATATTAATCTATATTCATAAGCACTGATTTAGGATCCTAAATTGTAGGTGTATATAAATTCTCATAATTAATGGTAAATTATGAAATGTTTTTAATGTGAACCAATAAATGCTGAGAACCACAGGTGCGGCGCGAATGATATCAAAAGTGTCGATGTAGTTATTTGCTTGTTTTTAATGTCAAGACTCCGGAGGATTAGTCCTTTTAATAAAATATCCTTAATTACGAGACGTAATGGTTCCGAAGGTGGGCCTGGCCAACAGGATGGAGCAAAAGTTTTCAAATTAGTCTCCGTCGTGTTGCGGAGAGCGAAACAGGAAAAGTTGTCGAAAAAAAAAATATACAAAACATAACGCGCTCGCGAAAGTTATAATTAGAAGTGATATTAAAAAAGTATATATAGATATGCGGAGATGGACCAAATAGTTTTCGGTTTGGGTGTGCAGATGTTTCTACAAGAGAGAGAGAGGAGGGTCAGGTGTATCCAAATTGCAGTCGGAAAATTAACGTTTCGCTCATGAGAAAAGCGCAGAATGCGAAAGTTCAAGAGGTCCGTAATTGCGAAAGTCTTTTCCAGTTTGTTACATTTACAAATTGACACGTTCGAAGCTCGCTTTTCCTCTGTTTCTCTGTGTACGTACGTATATATTTGTGTGTGTGTTGGGGTGTGGATTGGAAGGTTTTTGGGGCTTTCGCTCGTGCAGTTAACATCCGAACCGAAGTTGCTAACTACCTTCCGCCACAAGCCCACTCAACCCCATTACCAACAACAAACTGATACCGAAGAAATACCATTCGCGGGTGGGCGGAGCGAACCTTTTCTTGCCCTTTCCCACTTACACTCGGGGCGCTTTTTCAGCGCTCGATAGGACGTTAAACGTTACGTTACACCTGTCTAAGTGCACAACTTCCGGAAACACATTTTCGGGGCGGAACGGAACGAGATAAGTTGTCGGAATACTTTTCGGATTCCATTCATCCTCTCCTACAACGCTAATATTATGATGTAATAGGAATCGGGGCGAAAGTACATAAAACAACCTCACCACCGAACAGGAATTGCCAGCTTCCGTGGATCCGCACAATTATGTCTACTAAACTTCTCGTACGTTATTCATAATTTTGCGTTTAAAAAGAAATTAAATATTCAACATTTTCTGCCTTGTCTTCTGAATTATTTTGGTCATTTTTTAATATTTTTAAATTATATTATTGATAAGAAAATAAATTACTAATATTCTATTTAAATTAAATATTAAAATTATTTGTCCATATTCGATGGCCTAAATTATTTTTTTTTTTAAATGTTTTAATTACTTTCAGAAAATATATTTAATTATATAAGTGCTTTGGAATTATGTTAAATATTACGGCAGGTACGCAAATTTGATAGTGAATGCGGAATACCTAATGTAATCGAAAAGTCCAATAAAGTTTTTTTTTAAACAAATCGTTTTTGAGATTAAGACGTATTTGCAGTGCGAATGGTGTATTTGTAATTATGTTTGGTGTAAATTGGAGGTAATCGGATAGGATGACAATAGTTACAGTTATATATGTTCGTGACAAATGATGTGCATTCGGTGAGGCCAACCGCAATGGTAGACGTACGTCAAGCTCGATTTCAGCGCAGCGATAATTATGTTTCCCGAGATTTATCCGCCGCAAACGGCAAGCAAACACACGCAGCGGCATTCAGATCAAGGGGTTGCGGGTTGTGTTGGTGTGTGGAACGTTTAGATGCTGCGAGATGCCTGGAGGCCAGGAATGATAGTTTCAATTAAAATATCAACCCGTCGGTAGAAGTAGAATTAATGGCGCAGCAAGGCTTGGCGGAGGAAGGAAGGAAGCACATCTCTTGACAGTGACGTTTAATGGAACTCGCGGCGGTGTTTCCGTCTCTATCCGTGCGACCGTGCGTGTCCCAGACAAAGATGAAGATCTGCTTGGGGAGGGGGTGAGGGTGTATAACTGGTGGAGTTTTGAAGATGAGGCGTGTAGGATGAATACAGAATTTACCAAGGGAACGGAGGAGCCGCTTAAGGAAAACATGATGAATTGGTTGAAAGTAGACACTCAGGACACGGGAACAGCGGCAAGTGCCGGAGATCCAGAGCCATTGTTGACGCAGCGGAAACTTTCCGACATAAATATTATTCAACAATGTACAAGAGGGATGCGGAGGGGGGATGAGAAAGACAGAGAAAGACCAGAGACAAAATCAAACATCGCGTCGCGTCTGCAATTAAAATCTAGGGGCCCTAATCAAATCCCGAAACCCTTCAGACTGCCGCATGAATGGGGCCTTAATCGAGAAAACTCCATGCGGCAAGTCGTAATTATCTTCGCACCATGTCAGATAATCTAATTGCTTACCAAAATTACGAAAACTTGACGCACAAATTTCAGCAAAGAATCGCTGTAATTGGACCCAGAATTGATACCCGGAGCACTTCCCACATCCTCCAGTTTAATGTTTAACATTTTCATCACTTATTTACTTAAAAATCTTAATTTCTTCCTAACTTAATTTTTAAAATAATTTTATAAACCAAAAAATACTTCTAAAATATTTATTTGTTACTTTTTTAAATTAGATATTTTTGTTTACTCTGTATTACATTAGGATAATACATTAATAGACATTTTCTAAATACATGCATTAATTATTTTTTACAGACCACAAACTGCATGTGCACCTTTAATCATGATTAAGTTGATGTAGGTTATAAAATAAAATCACAGGTAATACCCACGCGCACAAAACGCGATGAAATTTTGGATTATTTGTAAGCTAAGTTAATCCATTAAATGTATGTGCATTAACGTTCGTTTTTTATGTTTGATTGTACAATACTATGTATAGAAATGCAAGCCTTGGTGCATTCTTTTTTATTACGAATTACGTAATTTCAAAGGTAAAATAAGTTATTTTCGTTGACAAAATAAACTCGACGACAACACGGATTATCGTCGAGTTTCGCGAATCCATCAACCGTGCACACGTTCGTGTGATCGAGTATGCATCGAGGAAATCTATTTATAATTTGCGGGATGCGAAGAAGGTGGTAGCAATGGTGGTGGAAGAGGAGGGTTAGGGTCGGCACTAATCTACACGGGAATGAATTACAAGAAACGCCATAAAGTATATTGACCATAATTCAGTGTCGGCTGGGAGCGCCGCGACGTGTTATAGCCGGATCGCGTGAGAGCGTCCCGACGCCAAAAAAAAAACTCCTCCATCTCCCAGAAGAGAGAAAGAGAAAGACGGATAGAGAACGTGTGCATGTGAGAGAACCCCCATTCTCTTATGGTAATTAAATGAATGCCTAGCGAACAAAACGCGGAAAATGAACTGGATAAAAAAAGGAATAACACTACATAGCTTAACTTAACTAAAACATAAATACTGTGCGTAATCTGGAATATCTATGAGCGAAAAAGTAACAAAAAAAATGTGGAGCTATTAAAGTTTCACAAACGCCGATAATCTGACAAATTACGTTTTTTTTACCACCGTATCACTAAATAGAAATAAATTTTGCCGTCATAATATTTATTATATCAATTGTATATTTTCCAATTTATCCCACGACTGTTTTCCATCTTTCAGGCAACTTTATGAGCCGCTCTCAGAGAATTTCTGATCTTTATCCACAAAAAAAAACTGAACCAAGTGTGATTTCAGGTCATCTTCTAAAATAAACTAAAAGTGACAAATGACAAAAAGAAAAAATCATAACATTGACAGAAGTCAAACATAACCCTATTTATTTGTGAAAACAGAAATTACCTACTTACCAACCCTATAGAAACTCAACTTATAAAATTGTTTAGAAATATTAATAATCAATATTAAAAAAAATGTATTAATATTATTTATTGACTAGAGTATATATATACAAAGAAATATAAATTCTCTAGAAAAGAGAAATAAATATGCCTTAAAAATAAGAAATATTCTATAATAAAATTAATAAACAATAACGCCCAGGCAATTTGTTAATTAGTTGCAAAAACAAAATTTTAAATCTTAATTAAAATTTTATTTCTAAGTGAATTGGACTATTATTTTTAATAAATCATCCATTTTTATTTTATTGAATACATTTGTAAATGCTTTATATAATTTTAGAAAAAAAATGGAATTTAGGTTATTTTTTAATATATTATCAATACGTAACAAAGTTTGATATTTAATGTGTCAAATGTTTGTGTTAAGTAATCAATATATATATTATATAAATGTTTTTGTATTTCTTACTTTAATCAACAAAAAACCTTAAATTGTATGTCTTTTTCTATCAATTTTTGTTAACAAACCGACAATAGTAACCATGGTAACATTAAATAGCAATACCTCGCATAGTTACTGTAATCGGTTCCGACAATGAATTGTTTGAAACCGATCATTTATATATAACAAAATAATAATTTTCTATAGTATTTTTTTTAGAATTTACTTTTAATTTTGCTCAATTATAATTTAGTGTGCTTTGAACTTTTCAAACCGGACTATAATTAAACATGACTGATCGAAGCCGGACTATGCAAGGTATTGCTGTATTTGCTTATTATTTACTGTGCAGTTTGTAAATCATTGAATTTTCTAATAATAATGATGGTCTTCTTTGTTGCAGGTCCAGCTTTCTGGGGGCTAATAAATCCGGAATGGTCATTGTGCAACAAGGGCAGGAGACAGTCCCCGGTTAATCTAGAACCGAATAAGCTCCTGTTCGACCCCAACCTACGTCCCCTGCACATCGACAAACATCGGGTAAGGAGCTTACTTGATCTCTCCGTCTAACCCACGTGCATCCACTATCTCCAACCTACCCTTGCTATACCCTCTATACACACACGTATAATGCACACATGTTTGCATGCCCGGCCCATCCAGAGTGTGTGTGTCAACTTATCTCTCACACTAGGATTATACCATAATAAACTAAACTTGCAACTACCCTGTTTATTATACCCTCAGGCATTAAACGAAGGGTCGGAGGTTGCATACATGCACATACACACACGTTCACGTAAACTAAATACAACGGCGCAGCCCCTGCTAAAGCCCAAGCCTGAAACGCTTTATGTTGTCTATAATGTGATTAATTAGTGCTCCATTAAAGGAGGCTTCTGCTCTCTCTTTCGTAATTTCCTCGTGGATTAAGTGGCGTCGCACAGTCTACGTTACTTAAAAACACATCCCTTAGCCGCAACACGATTTTAAGCGCAATTTGTTCACCGTACGAAATCCAACAAAACGTACACATTTTGACTCGATTCAAGCAAATTACTCATTAGATCTTACGTTCGCTTATAAGAAATTTAATAAGTTTAGTTTAAATTTAGTCTAAACTATTATTTCTCACTTAATTATCTAAATATATTTTCCATTTTCTAATTTGTCCCTTGACCTCTTTCCATCTTTCTTGCAAATTTATGAGTCCACGCTCATAAAAATTCTGGTCTTTATCAGCAAAAAAACTGAACGAAGTGCGAAGTCATGTTATCTTCTAAAGTAAAATAAGAGTGACATCTGTTAAATGACAAAAGGAAAATATTATTGCATTGACAGAACAGGCACAAGCCTATATATTTGTATTTATCATAATAATAATTTATTGGCCAAACATTAATACATAAGAAAAAAAAGAAGAACATTCTAACATAAAATAAAAAATATATATATTGATAGGTTGGCTAAAGGGCTAACGACCGAGGTCTTTCCGCCCGATATATTTGTAAATACCGAAATTACTCTATAGAAACTAAACTTAAATATTGTAAACCTAAAAAATGAGAAAATCTTTATTAATTCTCTTTGCAGTAAATCAATTTATTTTTATTTTCTTATTATGTTATTTTGTTGAGTTTGGAGTATGGTGATTTGTTATAATAAATGTTATTATTAATAATTAATAATTTATGTATTTATACGGTTTAAAAAATTAAATTAAAAAATAAATCTTAAAAATATCCATAGTTTTACTCGGTATTTTGTTCACATATTATCACTTTAAACGGTGTGAACGCTGTTAAATTAATAAATATATTTAGATAGGTGTAACTTTATTTTTTTTGCCTATGTTATGTTTTGTTCGGTTACCAGAGTTATGGTAGGTTATGCAAAAATTAATTTTGTATTGTATCTGGGAATGGTTAATGAAAACTGGTTACTAAGCTGCGCACGACCTTGCCGAATTGCGAGGCGAGGGATGTGTATGCTAATTTTTAATTCATCATTCCCATTACTGTTGTTTCTCACTTCCCGTTTGTAAATAAAGGGCATAACTAACTACGCGCACTTATGGAATTAACCTTAAACGCACCGCTCCTAATCGGACTAATTGCTTTTCATCATTGCGCGAACGTCAGCACGCGTTATACGCAACAAACAATATCTCAATTATTCAAAAGTTTTACCCAGTAATCGTGACTAACTGGAAAAATATATAACTGGAATACATGCTTTTGTTAACTAATATCCAGTAAAATTATTTAAAATGAAATTGAATATAATTTTTAAAGTCTCTAACAACGTGTAATATAACAAGAAGTTATTATGTTGAAACTAATAATAAATTAATATCAATCATCACAAAGTTGTGATATTAAAAAAAAGGAAAAATACATTTATTATTAATGAAGAATCTATAATATATATTGTTATATAAATTATTTACTTGGCGCGTCTACTTTTAAAACCAATTAAATATATTTTATTTGCTCTATTTTAATTTATAATTCATAATTCACCTCATCGTAGCTGATTTTATTGTTTACAAATCTGCAGAAGCATTTGCATCTTTCGAAAGAAAAGTTATCCGTGATGGAATTCAAATGTAATATTCTGATAGTCCAATATTTGAGCGGAAAACCAAAAGTGGATATTGTTAGATATTAGTGTTACAATATGCTATTATGGTAGCCGGAAAAAGCTGCATCTGTGACAGAGGTGGTTCGAAAAGTTAAGGATCCAATTGAATTAAATCCGCGACGCAGTGGAAGACAAGTAGCTACTCAGCTAAACATATCGAAAATAACCTTGCAACGAATATTAAAAAACGAAGTGAAGCCTTACAAGTTCTAAAAAGGAAAAGATCTCACCGATGTCCAAAAAAAAAGCTAGGCTCGATAGAGCGAAGGAGCAGTTGCGCTTGCACGAATGCGGCCAATTACAAATATCGTCTTGTCTGATCAGAAAAATTTCCCAATTGATAAATTCGTAAATAAACAAAATAATCGAATTTACTTAGAAGAGAGATCAAACGAAAAGTTAATGTGTTCAAGAAAGCCCTTTTTCGTGAATGGAGGAAGATTCCGCAGAAGATTCACTTTTGTGCAGCGTGCAACTCGCTTGTGGACCAACTCAGAACCATAAATTATAAAAATGTAATTGTTTTCAAATGTTTTTTGCTTTTGGTTCAATAAAATCCAATTTGAAATAAAAAAAATACAGCGTTCTGAAAAGTTGCTGTTGAATTGGGACACCCTGTAATTCACCCGGCGCATCCACATTTAAATCTTGTGAATTTTAAACAAACTTATTACTTAAATACTAATAACTTATTCTCTTCACATCAATATTTTATGATAATGTCCATGGACGTAAACCATTCTAATACAAAATATAAATTAATTAACGTAAATAATTGAAGGAATAGTATTTACTTGCTTGTATACATTATACAGACAATTCAATAAATCATAAATTCAATTCAAAATGCCGGTTTCGCTTTGGAATGTCAGTATCAAAAATCAAGAAAAACATTTTTTTTTGAACAGACTGGTATAAAAGTTTTTTTAATTAACAGATATTATCACTATCATTTGAAGTCTTCTCTCCCAACCATGGGGGCATGGGCGGATTATCTCATACCAAACTGCGTATGCACTTGTGTTGCATTTTTTCAGTGATTCTAATTGAAAATATATTATTTTCCTGGCGCATCCGCCATATGTTTATAGAATAAACAAAGTTAAAATTTGATTTTATTTTAATCTTTCTTAGTTGTATACTGTTGTTATTGATTAAAAAAGTCACTATTTTTTTCTTCTACAATTGTTGGTATGGATTCTAATATCAGCTTTTTGTTTTGTGTCTTAGGTCAGTGGAAATATAATGAATACTGGTCACAGCGTGATCTTCAACGTGGAAAATGATACGCGCCACCACATAAATATAACAGGAGGTCCGTTGTCCTACAAATACCAATTCCAAGAGATTCACATCCACTACGGCCTCCACGACCAGTTCGGATCCGAACACACTATCAACGGTTACGCATTCCCAGCAGAGGTAAGTGCAGCCAACCATTTATAACTTAAGACTCTAATATTGACATAAGTTAATGAAATGTAACCTCAAACATAAACAAATTATATAATGAAGGTTGTATTTACCTGCGATTAAATTTGAAACATGCATTCTACAACTTTCAACTAATAATACTAATTATCGAAATAGTATCTAATCTAACCTTAAACCTAAATAAATCATTTAATGAAGATTGCTATTATCTGCGATTAATTTTCACAGATGTAAGTGCAGCCAACCATTAAAAATAAAAAAGCCTGAGAAGAAATTAAAAATAAACATACGCGACTAAGCCTAAATGCAAATGTCACGTTTAATGATGAGAAGGGGAAGAAAAAAGAGAAACCAGTTTCCGAGAGTAATTGGACACACTTCTCGCAACGCACGCGGGAAATTCAAATGCACATGTACTCTCTGACCGTCTGTAGTATATATACATATATTTTTTTTCAACCCTCTTTTGTTAATTGAAGTGGCCTTCGCAGCCGCATGGAGCAATTATAATTTTAAATATGCACTCTGCAAATCAGAAAAGCGCGCGCTTTGGGGGCCTTTCGCGGACCGCCGCCGAAGAGGCTGTTAAAAGTTGAAATTATGTAGATTTCCTGAAAAGCACTCGATTATATAAATAAGGGCTCCTCCCTTTTTTTCTCCCCAACCACCTATCTTGCTCTCTCTCTGTCTGTCTCTAATCCACATAGTGTATAGGCTGTCTCTCTGTACTTTGCAAGTGCCGGATCACTTTCCTTCTTCGCTTTGAAGTACTCGCGGTTGCCGCATTTAAGTAGCGCGGTTTAAATCAAGTCGAGTGTGTGGCGTGCCGTGTGGAAGGAGGACGGTGAGCGGCAGCGCCGTTTGTGCGACTGCGAGCATGCGAAAAATCCGGCTATTCGTGGGTGGTTTTGCACTTTCGAACAGTGGAAAATCCGGCGACCCGTCATTCGGAAAATTGCTGACGTGAAAATTTTACATTATAAATCCTGCACGTGTTGTACGCCACGAAATGGCGAGCGAAACGAAGTATCTGCAATACACGTAATTCAAGATCTATAGGCTTTTGTGTTCTACTTTTTTTTAGTTTCTTCCGCCGATTTAAATACACTTATGTTTTTAAAATTTTCAAATTATTAAATCATTATTTCTCAATTATTCAATTTTCAATTATAATTTACATACTTAAGAATTGAAAAGTCAAACTTACATTAACATAATAAATCTTCAATTGATCTACATTTATTATATTAATTTAATTTGTTTTTATATAATAAAATAGGGCGACTGATAGCCACGATTTCGTGGGCGCCGGTTCGAATCCTGGTCAAGCCAGGCCCACAGTCAAAGGAAATAATGGAATCGCAGAGGATCAATATACTACTGAAGTTAATCTACAAGACGACAGCCAACCAAAAAATCAAATCATAACTATCAACCGCGATCTTAAATTTACTCAATGTTCACATTGATGAACATATTGTGAATAAAATTATACGACATAAAAAAAATATAATAAAATAGGTTTATTGATTTTTATAAATATTATTAATAAGAAAATATTTTTTTTTAAATTAAAAATTTTACAGATTTTACAATATTTGTTACATTATTCAATTAGTCTAGTTCAAAGATTAGAAACGTAATAAAAATGCATTTTTTTTTTTCGAAATATTTTTCAACAGTAAAAAATCATAGATTTTTATTTTCATACACAATTTCTAGTTTAATAATAAAAATATTAATAACATTGGTTTAATAAATTGTTAAATTAGTCTAGTTTTCTTATCCGAATATTGCAATAAATAACAATTATTACTTTTAATAAATTTATTAAAAAACAAAAATTTTATTCACTGAAAATGTTTACGAATATTTGTATTAAATTATAATTTACTTTTACTACTTTTATTATTATCAACATTACATCATTAAAAGAAAACTAATATAATTAACACTTTGCAAGAATATTTGTTTGTTGCATTTAAACAAACGAATTCAATTGCATTAAAACTTGCCTATAAATTACACACAGTTTCCTCTTTTTTTTATAACTTTTATCTCGTCGTTTCCTCCAACTCACTTAGTACTTTTCATCTACCGTAAACGGTCCACCTCTCCTGCATTATTTCCTCCTCCTATTACTTTTTTTTTCATCTCTTTTCTCGTCTTTCCATCGTTGCCCTCTTTTGATGTAATCTGTTTAACAGTATCTTTGTCTTGCAAAGTTTTCCTTTAGTTATTTCCTTTTTTCACCTTGTTCGTTCGTTCCTGTTCTTATTCCACTTTTCTTCCGTATCGGAGATCCCACGAAGTTGCCCCTGCATAGTTTCGCATTCAAATTATTATTTATTTTTTGCTCGCTCTTTTCGCTGCACTAAAAACCTTGTTGTTGCCTTTACCATGTATTTTTTTTTGTATAAATCATTAAATTAAATTGAAACTCATTCAAAGTCGGAAAAAGCCAAACAACAGCAAGGATCAATTGTACAACGAACGTTTGTCATTTGACAATGCGCTCCGCTTTTTATTAAGTGAGAGTTTGAAAGGGGTTTTCAGATTTTTTTTGCTCTCGTTCTTTACTTCCTTCCTTCCGTCAGAAACGAAGCACAATAATCTTTGTAGCCTTTGAATGCGTATGCAGTTTAAAGCTAGAGAGAGGAATATGTTAGTTACGTGCAACAACTTTCGAAGGGCTTTCGCTTCTCCTCCTCCTATCAAAACATGTTACTTTTGACGGTGCAAACAGAACTAATTAGTGTGCCTCTCTCCGCACACCAAAAACACGCGTTTTAAAAGGGATCCGAGCGAGCATTTTACATGTGCAAACTCCCTCGCCCAAAACTAATTTCGCATCTTCTCGCCGAAAGCGAAAAGAAAACTGTCAACGCGACTCATGTAATTTACAAAACACTCATATTTAATTAGAAAATTATCTTACAGATTTTGTACTTAAGAACCATCCACATTATATTACAGCAACAAAACTTTTGAGAAATTAAGGTCTTAAAAATGGATAAAAATACTTTGGCATTAATTTTTTTTTTAGATAGCTTCAAAATAATAAAATTGCTTTGATTTCTTTAGATTCTTTCACTCTAGTCCTGGCATTGCCTAAATGTTCTATTAAAGATAGTATTTTTTATAAAGGTCTTCAAAATATTAAAAACTAATTTTCGTATTAGATATACCTTTAGATGCTATCAATTTAAACGTGTCTCCATTTAAAAGTAATCATATTTACAATAAACACTCGTCAAGGACATCTCAAAAAAATAAAACGTTTTTTTCTTCAATAAAATTCAAGCGCAGTCCTCGTTCCAATTCAGTCCTGCTCCGTAAATCCTAACTTCGGAGTTCCAAGCTTTCCACTCGACAACGGCCACCAAACTGCTGCTTCTGTTTACGTCCACATTCCTAATCCCACCTGCCACGATAATATTTCCTATAGACTCGTAGTCCTGAGCATCCAGAGTTGTGAAGTTAGAGGTCATAGAACATGTGAAAGCTTCCTGTTGCACTAAGGACGTTCCATAAATAATCTGCTGGTGCGGTGAAAAGAGCACCTTCCGATCTTTCAGATTGTCCACGGTTTTTACTAACCCAAAATTCCTCAGATCCCAAATCTCTCCGTTTATAATTGTCTAAAAGTTTTATATAATCAGTTTTCATTCAAAATCGCATTTTAACATAAACAGAACTGTAAATATTGTAATCTAATTTTATTATAGTTAAAAATCTATCAATATATCTCCAAATCTAACTTAATATGTTGAATACTTCATTAATTAGATTGAAAAAATTCTACATTGAATATTGTTGTTACGACGTTTTATTAAAATGTTGTAGAAATTTGGAAAACAAAATTATGAAATTATCGAGCAAAAATAATACCATTAAAGATTTTATGTGATTTTGTTATTATGTAAATACAGTGGAACCTCGCTTAACGCGTTTAATCCGTTCCAAAATTTCCGGATTTTTACTCATATAGGAAACACGTTTTCCCATATAAACTAATGTAAATTACGATAATGCGTTCCACGCCGGAGAAAAGAAAAATATAACTCGATTTGTAATGATTTTGCTTTTAATATCTATGGTTCGTTTGACTTTTTATTCGGAGACATGCAAATGTTATTAAATTTTGTACAAAGAAACACACAAATAACATGTCTGAACACAAGTTTGGAAAATTTGTGAACACAAACAACACTAAGATACAGCTATAACCACTAACGCCAGGTACTGTTTTCCAATTCACACAAATGAGTTTATATTTATTTATATTACTTGAATGGAGATCTCTTTATACTTTTAATATTTGTATATAAAAAAGAATACATAGTGTGTTTATAAATTATAATAATAGCTGGACACAATACATTTGTGTTTTGCATTCACAGCAAATACAAATTATATTTGCAAAGTATAGTCTGCTATAAACAAAGATGACAAAGAAAATATATATTCAAAAATACACATAATATGTGTGTACAAGTTTTAAAAATGATGTTGAAGACGTGCAATTAGGAACTTCTCTTCTTATCGTCACTCGTTATGCGAAACTTTGCTGGTTAAGCGAAATGCTCGTTACGCGAGGTGCTCGTTAAGCGATGTTCCACTGTATAGTCAAAAATTGTTTTACCTCTAATCCGTTGGGATGGAAAACTCCATTCTGTATGAGATTCAGTTTCTCGAATCTATGGATTTCGGTGCCGGAAATCACGTCAAAAAGAACACCGTCAAATAGAAGGAGACGATCGTCAATGTTAAACGTAGCTTTGTTAAAACTGTACTGATTGCTGAACGTTGGCCGGAATTTCTGAACTGCGGTCCCTGAAACGTTCAAATCGAAAATCTACTTGAAAGTGCTTTATCTTTATCACCGTCGTCTCGACCTACCGTAGCACATCCCCAAGACGTTCCTAAAACCATATTCTGTTCACCAAAATGATTAAATTCCATGAAACTCTGGCCTTTGAAAATCTTACAGGAATGCGATTTTATACAACATAAGAACGAATCCGACGGTGTCGGAGTGCACTGATTAGCTTTGCTCAGAAGAATATATCCACCTCCATGCCTGACCTCCAACTGTTCAATTCCCTCTTCCGTGATGAAAATCTTGTCAATCCTTTTCGTATCGAGATTGTAGATTCGTACCTCTCCTTTATTATCAGCCGTAACTAAGGTGTTCGCGTTGTTCATGAAGTTTGCGCACGTGAAGAGAGGATAGTTGTTTTTCTGTAATTTAAAGACTTGCAACGGGGCATATTTTGAGTAGATTATGTGTTTTGACAAAGAGACAGCTTTGGTGCGTGTGTGAAGACCCAGTTGAAATTTGGACAGTATTTCCAGGATGTTTGATTTTTTTATGAACGACTCTTCGTTCCCTTCGAGACAGTATATATCTGAAAATTTATAATTAAATAATTTAGATGGTCTGTCAACTTTTTAACGTCCATCACCTTTTGGTAAAATTTTAGAAACTATTTGCTTTATTTCGTCGAATTTCAATAAAACTTTCAGAGCACGTTTCGCCAACTTCTTTAGAACTTCATTCGTTTCGTCTTCGGTCTCTTTCAGAACATCCACTAAGATCTTTCATTATACGATTAATCACAACATATAAAATTATAAATGAATTATTTTTATTCATTATTTAATTTATTTTAAACTATTTTTTTTAATCCGGTGGATTTTTTCTTATACAGATGGAATGAAGTGGATTATTTGAAAACAATGTAATTTATCAAATTTGTAAAAATAATTACTTGCAGTTGCATCATTAATAATTTATGTGAAATTAAAAACAAAAAGTCTTGTAATTGATAATATTACCATGAATCCATGACTAAATCGAACTAGGTTTAACATTCTATCTGAAGGGCCGTTCGGGCCGCAAATGCAATTCACAATGATGCGAAGGGCGATTTTCTCAAAACCACAGTTCATCGCGACTTTCAATGTTACATCTAAGCCTGAAACTTAAATTATGAATCTGCTAAATCGATTTTTTTTGTCACCAGATTTACCTGTTAACAGTTCGTTCGCAAAATCCATCGATTCCGATAATAAAATTTTAACACTGTGCACTGAAGAAGCAATGGCTAACACACCTAAAGCGCATTCGATCTTCATGATATCCGCTTCCAAAGGAGCACAGTGATACGAGGATTGGTATATAATTTTCAGGATCGATTTTAGACTTCCCAGTTGCAAAAGGTATTCGACCGGCATCCATTCGATGTTATCCTCTTTTAAAATCATCTCCATCATCGAATTCGAATGCTCCAATGAAGATTTATCAACCTGTCAACATCGATAAAAATTGGTTTTTGATTATAATAAAATTGGTGTTCTTGAAAATACTCACTTTTATTTGCGGCTGCTGACACCTCACCACCAGATGCGTGTACAGATAACTCTTGTAGGCTACACACAGATCGAGACTGGCCTTGTTGGAAAAAGGCTGATCAGCTACAACGGCCAACATGCTGTGCAATTTCGTTAAACCGCAATGCGCATCGAACTCATTCAGCAGACCTATGAAGCGAAAATTGCAGGCCAAGAACAATGCCATGTAGTTGTTCTGTTTCGTCGAAACAAACTCCCAATCCTCGAGCAACCACAGCACCATACTGATTAAACATCCGAGCCAAGCCTTTCGCGCATTGCACACCGTATACATGACTCCTTCGTACTGTAACAAAGTATAGATGACCATGGATAAATCGTTGTTGAGGATCGATACTCTGGGAATGTATAGGATGCACTGAAATAAATTCAATTTAATAATTTATTATTATTTATAATCAAGTGCATCAACCTCCAATCCTCCATGTGCCAAAAATGTGTAACAAAAATCCTCGCAATCCATCAAGGTGAGCAGGTATTTTAGAGTTTCGCTGACCAAGCGTTCATCGTATGAATCTTCTATGGTTAAATAGCTTAAAATCAAATTCAAGTTATCGCTTTGGCTCACGGTTTCTAAGTGCTGAAATATTCAAATATTGTATGAAGTTTCGTAATTTGTTAAACAAAAGTAAAAAGATTTAACATTAATCTTACCATGTTGCAGAATAAGTCGGATTTCATAGCAGTTAAGAATCGGAGGATGAAGGCTTGCTGCATCATCCTGGATAATGGGAATTCTGATATGACGTGTTTAACCCCGAACTCTGATTCGGGTAAGTCGTTCAGTCTTCTCAGCTTGTTAAAGAAGACTGGCATCAGTTTGCTGTTCTCCATCCTGCAAAAAAAATATTTGTAAAAGGAAAGAGGATAGAATTTGTCATTACCTGTAGTACTCCACCGTATCCACAGTATCCATGGCAATAGCTAACAAACCGATTGCGTAAGACTGCATCGGCTCTATGGGTACCATCGACAGACAGATCAGCCTGCGTATGGTGCTGGTTTGGGGTTGCTATGGAGATGGCGAATCGATCGTTAGGTGCTATTTGGTATTGATATAATGATGGACTTACCGTGAAGAGGTAATATCCGTTTACAACGGAAATACCGAGGGCCATTCTCAAGGAAGCAGTGATCAAATTATTTCTGAAGCTGTTCAAACTGCAGGTGTAGTCGGGAGCTACCTCCATATACTCGTACAAGAGTTTGTTCTTTAGTTGGGCATCCAGTTTGTTGATAATCACGTAGGCGCCGTTCTCCAACATTTCCGATAACCTAACCTCTAAACCATTGATGGGCCGCTTTCATTGTTTGCATTTGGAGGAGACTCACTCACCTGGTCATTATCGGCACCGGGTCGAAACCGATCACATCAAAACTATCCCTCCAACCTTTCATCAAAAATGCGGCCTCTTCTAATTGTATTGAAATTTCCATTTTATTGGAAAATATTAATAAAGTAAAAAAAATAAACAAACGATCACTGACGTATGATGAAGATGGACAGGAGACGATCGAACGACGACTTTGATCATTTGTTTACTAAGCGCACTTTAAATAAAAATTGCATTGCTCACCTAGGCAACTGCTTGTCAATAGCAACTTTTTAGTTTAACTAAAACGCGATAGCCTAAGTTAAAAAGAAATTTAATAAAAAAAAATATCGATAATATATTTAAATCTTTGCACATTTAGTTCTGATTGAAGGAAATATTGGAAAGTTTTCAATCGAAATAATATTTCTTTTTTAACTCACTATCAAACAAATATATAAAATTCAAACACCAAAAAAATATATGCATTAATTTACACATTTATTAATTTGGTAATTAAAATAATTATATTTTATGCTTATCGACCACATAATAGATTTTATTGAATATTAAATTCTGAAAATGCGAAAAGTTTTAGCAATTTTGGGGAAATAAAGAAAAGCGATAACAATGAAAAAAATGCAATTAGAAGCGAAAACAGGTACGAAATCAATTTAATTCGATTTCCACGTTTAATTCGATCTGATGTAATGCTGTTTTTCGTCTTCCTTTTCGTTTCCGTGGAGTTTTCCCGGTACTTTTCTATTTATGTTCGTTATCCGACGTGCCTCGGCTATCTTTCTCTTTTTCACTTCGTTCGCTCCTTTTCGTCTCATCTTTGTCGCGCGCACGAAAATCCTTCAGTAATTTATAGCAATAGATGGAAGACCAGAAACTTACCGTTCAACGTGCGTGACATATCGAATTCCAAAGATATATGGCCTCCGTGCAAAAGAAAATTGAACAACAGTTTCGAGTTATTTATTGTTTTCTTGCTTAGAACTTATTACAAACCGTTGCTTTTTTATCTTATGTCTTAATTCATATACTAATTTTATTCATTTTTTTATTAATAGAGATGAAATCTAAATTAAGAACTTAGTATGGATCGAACTATGATTAATAAAGAAAATAATAATATACAATCTTATTTGTAATTTCTACATTCTTTTAATCACAAACTCTAAAATTTAAATATAGGTGCTATATATATACAAAACAACAAATATTCGAAGAAAAGTAGTAAAAGTTTTGAGTTAGTTTTTTTGTATGAAGGAGTATGAATGAATTTATCGACGGGCTGCCAGAGTGTATTCAACACTTGGCCTTAATTCAATTGATTGATGATATAAAAAAAGGTTGGGAATTGTTGGAGATAGAGAGAGTAAAATAAAGAAAGATAAAAAGGGGAGGGAGAGCTTTGTATTCAGCTGTGCGTCGGGCAACTAATTGTATTTCTCTTCACTAAATTAATTACACTTCACAGCGGAAACTAAACGAATGGCCATAGGTTAAATAAATCAAACGGGATCCAGTTTTAATAATGTTTCATGGCCGAGGGTTTTTCGGAGATTTATCATAGGAGATTCCCTCTACGGTCATGTATGTGTATATATGTATGTATTTGGCTGCGTGTGTGTTGGAGAGTCCGCTGGATGGTCGAGGGTCGAGGGTCTTTGGGGAGCCGTAGAACTGAGTTATTTGCTGGGCGTTCTGCTCTTTTAAAGTTCGGTATCATTAAATACTTTGTTGTTTGACTGGAATGACCCGAAGAATATTAAGTTATAGCGGACGGACGGGCGGCATACGTGATTCCAGTCGAATCACCAGAAACAACAACAACGGACGGACGTAGTAAAACAAAAGAAGAACAAAAAAAACAAACAGAAAAGAAGACAAAAACAATGAAGAAGAGGTGAAGGAATGAACGAGTGGCGCTATTTATTTATATTCGCAATTATTTATTAAAACGTGCTTCCTGCATGCTAATTTGACGATTTCCTGCTGCTGCAGCATACAAAGAGGATTTTTTTTTATACTATATGCAATATGGGATAGAGCAATAGAGAGTGGGAAAGAAAATTATATGTATAAGGGTGGAGGTGTAGTGTTGAAGCTTTCATAGCCAGCAGCCGGCTGCTCCTCCAATCATCACTTTATTGCTCCGCCGCTCATCGAATTTTCCGCTTTCCGCTGTCCCCGTGTTTCGTCTCTTCCCTTTCCCGTGATTTTATTTTTATCGGCTCTACCCTCCTTCAGCCCCATCCCTTTTTTCCGACCCTATGATTTTTCATCATCGAACACACATCAGGACAACTCCGTACCTCCGCACCAACCCCTCACATCAAGATGGAAAGAGAAAGACACACACACACAAGCTTTCACACGTCGGGCAAATATTATGATTACTTTAGCAGAGCAACCCCTTTGCGACATCAACGTTTCCCCTCCCTTTCCTTTCAAACACTTCGCATTCTTTCATTTCTTCATCTCCGATAAAGTAGACACACACAGAGATAAAAAAAAAATGAATGAAAGAACGAGAGGGTAAAAGGAGGGACAAAATTGTAATGAAAATATTGGAATCATTTCATTCGGCGCGTTTTCTGTCACTGAATATCCTTCAATCCAAGTCTAATTAAATAATTTAGCTATTCTTTTGTAACTAGATTTATTTCAAATTTACCTGTTTACCAACAGTAGAAACTACATATAATATGAAATGGTGAAAAATCTCGACTTACGGAAAAAAAATGTAGAAAAAATTGATGTTTTCGTATTTTTTTCGTTTCGTCAAATATTTTGTTTATATGAAATTTGATTCACGTCCAAATTTGCGGAACGAAACCTCATCAAGAAGTGATTGTAATTATTTCGTAATAACTAACTGTTTCTAAAAGTTTTAAATTTTAAATAGAATTTAAATCAAGTGGGTCTGTAAAATTTAGTTTATACAGCACTTCCTATCATGTGCTTAAGTTTAGATATTTTGATTTTGTGATTAATAGTTAATTATTTGCATGTTAATTTGTGTTTCAATTATGTGGTCATATATACTAATAAAAAATGGATAGCAACTAATTGGTGGAAGCAGATGTTTAGTTATTTACTCTGTTTGTAATTAAGTTTTGGAGACATTTAGTTACGATATAAATTAATTACCGTCATCGAATTATATCCGGCCGCTGGCCTCAGCACAGTTAGTTGTATGTAATGTGTATGGTAGCGCGGGTGTGAGTAGGGTTGGAAGTTGCGAGGGGTGGAGAGTTTCAAATAACAATGGGCAAAGTCGCGCTCTCTCTCTCTCTAATTCGCGGTTTTCGGGCGGGTATTATTTGTTCGACCCGCTGCGAAACTAATCCGCGAACTTAATTCTTCCCTACTCAGATTTCCGGCCGCTAAGTGATGATGATGATGATGAAAGTGGTTCCGCGAGATGGCGCTCTTGAAGCGCGTAGTTTGAGGATGGTGGCGAGTGGGTGTCGAAAGGACCAAGGCTGTGTAGCCGAGGTAATGTGAGTTATGGTGCGGCCCGTGCATCCTTAATTGATATTTGTGGCCTTACAACCACAATAGCAATCTTGCAGATAACCGCGTTTAATTAATGTATGTTGAATGTGCAGTACTCTCCATATGCATAACGGGATTAGAACCATTCCGAATGCGGCCCTTTGAAGCGAAAGTGCATTGTTAGCTTAGATAGAATTGTTTTCTCCCTTCATCCCTCAACCGCTCTGCCGCCGCACTCAGCCATACAAATACTCATACACTCACACTCATTCCCATCATCATCTGCATCCTTTACAGAAATCATAATCATCATCAGCAGCATTGTTATTTCCGAATCCGCAACGTATTCATCCGATTAACCTGCCAGCTCTTCATAACAAAAATTGCAGAAAATCGTTTTTATAAAAAAAAATGTTACAGTCTTTGCCTGTCCTCCACATAATATATTCGTAGTTTCAATGTCATTTTTTATATAATTCCATTTAAACTAGAAACACTAATTTCAAAATATGTTTTCCATCATTCTAATAAATACACAAGTAATAAACGTATCCTTTGATTTTTTAATAATAATGCATCAAAATGTACATATACTAGTATTATACATTTATTTTTCATAAAAAGAAAGTTTTTCTCTGTTCATACCACTTCAATGTACACGAATAAAAAAAATGCATTTTTTTGTTAACACTGTGCAATAATTAAATTCACCTGCATACTCAAAGTAATATCTGAAAAAATATATCGACATTGCAAAAGTTTGTATCATTGGAAACTTGTGGAAAACGGGTTTCCGATATATATTGACGCAAAGAGAAAAATGTGAGCGAGAAATAGCAATAAAAGAAGAAGCGGACAAAACAATTGACAAAGTTGAAACAATCCGCGTGGACCAAACATCAAAATTCCATTTGTAACCTATAGCGAGTATAAGTTTCCGGCGGCAACAAAAAAAAATAAAACACAAAAAAAAAACAAAACAAAGCAAAATAAATAAATGTATGATTTTTAAAAGCAGAAGAAAACTCCGGAAAACGAAATAATGCAGGAGAAAACTTTCTGGAGCGCAGGAGAGAATAAAAAAATGAAACAAAACAAAACAAAACAGAGAAAAAAATAAATAAAAGAAAGTACACACAGAGCACCACCCACCCTGATTGTTAAATGGGAACGCGATTGATTTTGTTTCGCGAAGCCTGCTTCACGTATTTACTTCCTTCAGTTAGTTCAAATTTCGTTATTTTTTTCTATATTTTTTTGCTTTCGTTTTTATTTTGCTGCGTCATTATTTCATATTGCCCGGTTTTCGCGGCGATTAATTTACTTCCGGAAACGACGAAAGTTTTATTGCGGAGGCACTATTTCAATTCAGGAAACTTCGATTGCCATTTACGAACTTATTTATTTCATGGCAAACTGATATAAATGACACATTCGTTTCAAATTGACAAGAACAGAAAACTGTTCACATTATGCTATTATAATATAATACATTTACTTAATTAAGTTGCGTGTATTTTGAGTGAAATACTTTCTTTTTTAAACTTTTGATTTAGACTCAAAAGGGAATCCTCCAATTATGGTGTTAAAATCTATGACTTTTTAGGTATAATTATTGAAGAGCTGTTTAAGCTGAGCATGTTAGTCTCTAATGGTTTTCGTGCGGATGTCATCGAATTTCGAACACGCCATCTATCGGCAAAATGTAAATGCAAATTTGAAAGGGCACTCGTGCTGGGAATATCCGTTCCGCGGATGAACGAAACGATTTATATATAAATGCGTGCACTTTATCTCTCAATATTTGCAGCCTGCTTGAAATCTGTTCGCTTCCACACGTGCGAAGTCTGCTACGTGCTAATGCGAAGAAACTTCCGGGAACGTTTTGTCCTATTTTTGTCTATATACTATCTTTTATTTTATTTTTAGCGCGGAACAAGAACTAGATGGCGTTTTAATATGTCGCCTGTTATAATCAAAAGTTAATTGAAATTAGCGAATTATTCGTTCGAAGTGCAGTGAGAAGCGACGGGGCGGCAAATCAAGGTGGCGGAGGTGGAGGAGATGGCCTGATTATAATTTAATTAGAGCTAATTACGGATGATATTTATAAGGCTGATAATGGCCGGGCGGCGGCGACGCGACGCTTAAATGCCAATTTGTCTTTCCGTATTTAATAAGTGCTGCAAACCCCCATCCACCGAAGCCACCCCCGAAGAGTCTCCGCAATGTTCGTCGGATTCGCGGGACGTGTGCGGAAAAGCCCCGGGAATAAATCACGGAGCTCAACTCTTTCGATGCATTATTTCACCTCTTAAGGTTGGCGCTCGACAAAAAAAATGTAGAAGAGACTACGAGCGGAAGACAAGGAAAGTCGATTATAATTCGCGCAATCTTCGGGAGCAAGGCTTCGTGAGAAATTGGGAAAGGATTAGCGATCCGCTGCTTGGATTTAATGTAGCCCCCAGTCCATCCAAATTTTCACACGGCACCGAAATAATCGACAATAAATTCAATCGATTGGCAACAATGCCAACAGTATTTGAACATCATTAAAAACAACTTACTTTTTCACAACTTAAGAAAAAAACATCAACTTAAATAAAAAAAAAATTGTTCATTTCAGAAAATTTGCATGGTTTTGTGATTTTGAATTGATTTTGTAAGAAATATGTATTTTTCGGAAGCAACAAATTTATTTCAACATCTAACGGTATTTTATTAAAGAATAAAATCAGACAACAATAATTTGTAATAACAATGATAATTTATTGGTCAGAATGAAAAAAAATAACATAAAATGCATTAAGTAAACAAAAAAATAATTTTAAATAAACACTCTAAAATAAACAAAAAATCAATTCTAAATACAGTGTAGCCTCGCTTAACGAGTACCTTGCATAACGAGAATTTCGTTTAACGAGCGAAATAAATTGTAAGCAAAATGACTTCAAAATTGATCGTATATTACATTAGTTTATATGAGGAAAATTGTTTCACTATTCGAGTAAAAATCCAGAAATTTTGGAACGGATTATGCTCGTTAAGCGAAGTTGCACTGTATAACTAAAGAATAAAAAGAAAATTATTTGATAAATACTTTAAATCAAAAAGTATTAGTTTTTCATAAAAAGTTTATTATACTTTTCGTTTTTATTTATAAAACTATGTATGGAGTTTCAATTTCATACGGTTATGACTAAAAAGAAAGTATTTTCCGGTTTATCCGGAAGTCATAAAAATAAAGTAATATTATGTTATGTTTTATTACAAAATCATCTATTTAATTTATCGCTCTTTGAAAACCCAAATAGCTTATATAATGTTGCCTCAGGTATCAGTTCTTTGTCATAAACATTTTATTTCATTTCTATTATAAAATATATTTATTCCCGGACAGAAAGACCTATGGTGAATAGCTTCAAAGTTGACTTTTTTTTATTTATTATATTTGTATCATTGTATTGAGTTTGTATTTTGTTCTGCTTCAATAAATATTATTATTATATTTATTAAAAAAACGTATAATAATGCAAATGGTATATTTTGACTTTTCGTGTCGTTACTAAATTATGTATAAATGTTTTGTTGTTGCGAACAGAAGAATATAATATATGAAAGTTAGTTTGTCGAGTAAATTAAACTAGAATTGATGCTGCTTGGCACAAAGTCTCCGAGCAGTTCCTGAGAGAACACCGGATACGGATACAAAGGCCCTTCATTTATGCTGAACAATTTGGCCTGGACCGGGTTTCACATGACATGAAAATACTCACACACATACACAGGCATGTAGACAGATACAACCGCAGCACGCGGAGAGCGCAGAGGTAATGGCCGTTGAGTTACGTGCGTTGAATGCAGAATGCCGGCCCTTTTCAATAATTGAAATTGATATGAAGGGCTTATCGGACCGGCCACGGTATTAACCCGGAAACCGCGACGGATCTGTGCCCACCGATCGTTTACACTGTGAACAATTAGCTCGCCTTTGAATCGCGCTCTAAGTAGCTTTAAGTTAAAAGCGTTTTCGTTTTCATCGATTTATCCGATCTGCGTCGTTAAGGCAAATGCGGATTTACGAAACTATTTCGACGTATTTATTTTATTTGTTTTTTCTTTTTAATTTATTTAGTTTCGGTTGGGAGATGGAAGAGAATGGAACCTATACCGAAGTTATCCATCAATTCGGGGTGCGATGGCCACTAATTAGTTAGTTGCGCCATCGGACTGTGAAACTGTACACTGTAGATTGGATCGAAAACCTACTGGGAATTACATAAATCGCGTTCCCCTTTCGCTTTAAAACCGACCAAATGCTGCTTTTGTTTTGCTCTTTGTCCCCTGCAACTATTCACTTTTTATTCATATGCATATATTTTTTTGTAAATCGTGATTGTTTTTGATTTACAAATAAAGAGCAGAAAGCATAGAAAATTTCAGATTATTTTTGATAAATTTTATAAATGTGAAACCGGAAACAAAAAATATCTCTATTGAAATAGTTTATAATATTTGATAATTTTAGTATCTTGTAATAATCTCTTTAAAAATCAGTTAAAAAGGACAAAGAATTTAATGCTTGGAGTATGCTGATTTAAGTACGCTTACACTACAATCAGGTCAAATTAACCGACTATATAAATAATTCATTGTCAATTTTCTAAATAATAATTATTAATAATTATATCTAAAACGTTAAACATTTATTTTTTACAATACATATAACAACTCCCTTAAAATAAGAAAAAAGAAAAAATAGCAAGACTTCAAAGACTTATTGGCAAATCTATATAAACATATCAGATACAAAATTAGAATAACTGCAAATATATCATGAATATTGTAAACAAATAGGTTTATGGTACATTATGTAAGAATGAGAAGCTTTTCTGTCCTTTTTAACAGGACAAAAGTAACAATTTTATGCTCAAATTGAGTGGGATGGAATAAAATATTATAATATCTTAACAATTTACATGCCTACACTATTGCGAAGTTACCAGATGATTGATATTTATGCTATGCGCAAATACAGTAACGGAAGAATGTTCAACTATAAAATTCACCGCAAAATTTAGATTTGAAATAGTGAAAAAGTCAAATTGATCTGATAATAGTTAAAGTATATTTTTTATTTAAATAGTAAAATTTTAATTTGAATGGATATGAAACATAACGTAAATGTTAGAAGTTTTCTTTCAAAACAAACGTTTTGGGATGTAGAAAAGATATAGTGTGACTTTTGAATTCTCTCCTGGTATTACTTTGGGGATGTATTACGGAGTGCCATTATTTCGCAGCTAAAAACAACGCCGGTAACAGTTTTATAGATTCATTCGGAATGAATAAGAGATAAGGCAATTACGAATTCACGTTCCGCCTTTCATACTAAATCATTAAATTATAAATGAGGCGCCCGTTCCGCGCCGCCAATGCGCTACACTTTTAGGCTTCCCTGCAAAACCCTCATCCCCCGCAGCACGGTTATAAACGGCTGGATATTAAATGCGTTCCGAAATTTAGTGCTTAGACAAAGAAATAATTGCCATCCCGAGATGGTTATGGGCCACTTTTAACGGTCGATTCATACCTGAATTATTCAGCCGTCCCCAGTGCGGTTCTTTTGAATACATTCTGATACTTTGCAGATGGATCCGTTTCTTTATTTCATATCTATAGGCAACCAAACTTGAGTAGTCATACTAATCTGTTCGATTCGATTTGAAACAACAGATGAACGATTCACATATTATAGAATAATACTTGATACTTGCTCCTTATATTGATACATTTTCCTTATTGCAAAGCGCAAATGCAACAAAACTCGATTATTTATTATTTTATTTTTATCTATTCGATAATATTACAAGCAACAAAATAATAGTTTAAAATATTGTTACTATTTTATTTCAATTAATTTACTCAGACATATTTTATTTAGGCAACCAACGTTTACTACTTTTTATAAAGTATTTTATCAAGATATCTCAAATGAAAAATATATGAATTATTAATACAATAATTGATAAAATGCAACCAAAATTTACTTTTTAGTTTATTATAATATAGGTGTCTCTGCTTCTCAATTCTCATGTATATACATTCACTTAGAAGAAATTAGAAGAATAAATAAATCTAATGTAGAAAAATCAATGTTACTTTTACAACTGAACTATTGTCTATTTAAACTTATTTGATTGATCAAATACAGACACTCTATGATTTATTGAAATTTCTACTTTCACAATGTTTCTGGTATTTCTTTAAGATCGCTGTCTCATTGCATTTTTGTTCCAGATCCAGATTTTCGGGTTCAACTCTCAACTGTATTCGAACTTCTCTGAGGCGCTGCACAAGGCTCAGGGGATCGTAGTCATTTCGCTCCTTCTTCAGGTATGTACGGAAACCATCCACCGCCAAAACAATTTCACAGATAAAGAAAGCAAACGTTGAGAGGTTTTGAGAGTGAACGAACGGAGCGGAAGGAATCTTCGGCCGCGTCAACGCTCGCGATAAAAGGGCAATAAATTCCTTCACTTCCTTTCAGTACTCTCCGGGTGGGTGTTTTCCTACAGTCTCTCCCTCGTCCATACTCTTTCAACCTTTCCCTTTTTTCTTCCTTTCTCTCTCTCTCTCCTATTATTATTTTTATCTTAACATCGAGAGTGCTGCATAACAGACGAAGGGAAAACGTACACTCTTGAACCATCACCTGAAAATATTTACATATCTTAGAAAAATAGTTGGATCTTAACAATTTTATAAATCAATAATAATTTTCAAAAATAATAAATAGTAATAGTAATCTATCGGCTAGATAGAAATATGAAATATACATTATTAACAATAATAAATATAATCTGTTTTTCGTGGTATTCAAAACATTCAATAAAATGTAAAGATGTTTTGAAGGGTCAATATTGTTATTATTTATTTATTATTCAAGATAAGCCACTAAATAAAAATATAAGATATATAATTTAAATGGGGAATATTTATGTGTTAAGTAATATACATATTTTTTTTATAACTATATAAAAAATTTTAAAAATATTTTGTTTAATTTCAGATATACAACCGCGGTATTTGTTCAAGATTAAATAATTGATTAAAGACCACCATACACGCGTACAGGTCAAATAACTGATACTTGAGGTGCAATTTATTCAAAATAATTCCAAATAAAATAAACATATTTATCGAGCGATTTTACAAAAAAATATTTTCTAATCATTATGAAATACAACATACACTTATAATTAGTATTTGCAATTCTCACATTTTCATTGCAACTGTATATAAATACACATTTTTGTTGCAACGTACGTTTTGTGCGTCCATCAACGTTGTGCTCATACTTGTTTTTATTTTAACGAAGCGTTAGTTTGCGAACCTGATTAAAATCCATTTTCGCTCCTCTAACTCCGAATGAGCCTGGACGCGATGATTACGTAAAAATGTATTTGCATATATTGCATTTCTATGCGCTTGTGAAACACAAGCTGCTCTTTCCATTTATGTTTTTCGATACAAGTTGCTCCACCATCCGATTAAAAAATAAATAAAAAGACCCGCAGACTTTCGCATTCGCTTATTTCTCATTTTTTTTTATAGATATACATTTTTCCTTTTCTGTTCATTTTTGTAGCTTTTTATGTTTGCTTTTGGAAGTGAAGGGCTTTTGCGTACGTTCTATCGCGCGTAGCCCACAAGTTACTTTCGGTTTAATTACAGAATTTTAATTAGTTTCACCTCTGAGGTAGGTCCTGATTAATCTTATACGACAGCCAAGTTCATTATAAACAAGACGCCGAACTCGACTTTCCAAACTTGCCTTCGCCCCTTCTCGCTCTCTCTACTAATAAACCTTTTTAACACATTTGAGGGGGTAAATACACTTGCAAAACCAATGCGTGTTCTACTATCGATATTAAACCTTTCGCGAACGAAGAAATTTCAAGTTTATTTTTGTGCTTCGCGTGAATCGTTCGGAAGATCGTGGCTCGTGCCACTTGAACTTATTGCTCCGACCGATATAATCATCTATCGATTAAACTAGCTGCCATTTCATAACCGCTGAAAACTGCCCCCGAAGACCCTTCAAAACCTAACCACCGCCGGTGGGCGTCCGTACCTCGCCTGCTGGCATTATTCAATAAATTTCTCGCCAACCACTCAAAAACTCCCATCCCTTCCCTTAATTTACCAAATGTCAATTGGGTCTTCTTTCATGCTCATCGATCATCAACTCCAAAACATCCGGATCTGCTCTCTCCTAATTTATTTAAATTTTAATTTACTTATTCTACGCAACCCAAATCGCTCTATAGCCTACATTAATTAATTAATGTAAGCAATTAACTTAAGTATGACTCTTTGTGCAGTTTTTTTTAAAAACGTTGCCAACGCAACAGTCTTAAAACAACTTCTCATAAAGTGAACAGGAAAAAAATATTATTCCATGTCCATTAGCAAAATTAATTCAAATTTTGAATACGCAAAACTAATGCATTACAATTTCAATTAACGTTCACCGATAAAGTAAGCGTAAAAGTCATGCAAAATTAATTATTCATGGAACTCCAATGGAAAAATTAGAAAGTTCTATATTAGCGATATCCCGACCGTCATTTCAAATCCCGACATTATGATTATTTCAGAAAGGTAATTAACGTAGGTAAACAGTTACTATAATGACATAGCTAATAACGCTAATTTTTAATTCATTTCTTTTATTGTTTGATATAGACGTAAAACAAATGAATTTAAAATGGTTTATGAAACCATGCACTATAGTACGGTTTGAAAATGTCAAAACAAACTAAATTTTAATAGAGCAAAATAAAAATAAATTTTTGAATAAAATTACAATGAAAATAAATAAATTCTACAGCAGTGTCTTTTCTTGAATTACTGCAACAACTATTCCTATAACATGCAAATTAGTTCGATAAAGGTAATTTATGAAATCCGCGATATTGTGTGTACGTGTTTTTTCTTGTTGTCTTCTTCTGATCCTGCCGCCTTCGGCAGTTTATTTCTTGCACCGGAAAATAGGATAATTCGTATACAAACTGGGTCTCGTTACATTTTGTTCTCTCTCCTCTCCGTTCTCCTTCATTCTCTGTTTCCCCATTTCGCAGATTTGAATTTTCACCGCAAGCCGCCCAATTTCCCGTAATTTCCGTTATCTTCCCTAACATATCCCACTTAACCTTCTACCGCCTTTTTTTAACTATCCCAGTGCCACATCGGCCTATCCTTTGCATCTGTTCTACTTCTGTTTTCTTGTTTTTTTCTTGGTAGTCCTCAAGTTAGCGGGCGGTGTCGAGGGTCCAATTTAAAATTACGTATGTGCCGTAAAATTACGATACAATTTGCAATATCTGCCGAACTAACTAGATCTGCTCACGGCATAAACGAAAGTGGCCGCACGGATATAACCCACTTGCCATGTAAATGACATTGTCGTCTAACTTTTAAAACGCCCTTTAAGCTGCCGAGCAATCATGCAAATTTTTACCGGAGGACAAGAGAGCAAAGAAGGCGGACAAAGCAAGACACAAAAAATAGAAGAAGAGACACGCTACAACCTATCGCGCACTTTAGATTCGTGTTTGTCCTGTCTTCTTGTAATTAGCAATTAGTAATGGTTTTTTTAATCATTGCAGCTCGGGGACCTCTCCAATCCGGAGCTAAGGATACTCACGGAGCAACTCGACAAAATCAGATATGGCGGTGAGTATTTCATTAATAATGCTATTCTGTACAGAAACTTTTCGATTTTCGACTATTCACACGTATAACAAAAATAAAACACAAACAAAATAAACAATTATTTTCTAGTTTTCGTCAAGAATATTCCTCGCGTTTTTTTGTTGTATAAAATTCGACTTACGACCATTTCATATAATATATAAATTCTATTTTCTATGGTATGTTTTTATTACATATTATTATACTTCCTTTGTCCTACTACTGTCTTGATGCTACATTTCAATTTGACGTTCAGGTTATTGGAAATTAATCAAATTTTTATGAATATAAGTGTGCGATGGCCAAACTTAAATTCCTTGCGCTGTTTTAAGCTGCTGCTGCAAAAAGTAGCCTTCTTATTTACTTAATAATTTAACTATTGTAATTAAGGTTTGTCTGATTTGAAGACCCATTTTTTTTAAATTTATGTAATAGAAAAATCGGCTTAAAATATAAAAATTAATGAATTATTTTAATTATTTGATTAAAAAATGTTGGCACAAAATCGGCCTGTTACGTGAATTAAAAACTGAAGTTAGTTCTAAACCTATAGTTTAGTAATATTTCAGTTACAAAATTGCTATTAAAATTTAAAAATTTAATTTCCAGGAAGCGCTGAGTAATATTTTTTCTGGAAAGGGAGCGGTAGGCCAAATAAGTTTGGGACCACTGATTTAGACAAAAACGTCTAGCTTATTTATTTCACTAGCTTCATTAACTTTTTGCACAAATATTATCAAGATTCTATAGAAATTATTAAATAGAAGATAGCTTGCTTTGAAGAAATCAATTAATAAATATCTTCAAGAATCTGAAGATGCGAATTTAGAGCAGAACAAATAATTTGGTTCATTATTTAATGCTCTAAAGACAATTAAGCCCAGCAAGTGAGAGTAATAGAAAATAAGTTGTAAAAATTTCTTTTCTCTATTTTTTTTTTGTGAAAATTCGAAACCAGTTTAAACCGGATTTTTAGAAAACATGAAATTCTAAAATCGTTTTTTTCTCCGCTGCTGAGAAGTTTTGATGTTCTCTTGGTACATTTCTTGCTTCTTACGAAATGTACCAACTACTTTTGGACAAAAATCGACAGAAGAAGTAACAATGATTAATGACATTTTATAACAGTATTTCTTTATTCACTTAATTGCAATAATGAATGATCCTAAATTGTATATGCAGCACTTGCGTAACTTCTCAAGTATATATTGAAGTCGATGAATTCATTAAAAAATAATTGTATATCATTTAACAAGTAAAAATTACACTCATAGACAATAAATTACTTGTGCCTCTCACATACAATCCTTCGGAGGGTTTTTCTAATTAAGAGCGTACAGAATAGAACCGTGGTCGCGGCAGAAACATCCCTCTTTTTCCGCGCAATCCATCATCCTGGAATGTATATCTTTTCGAGAGAAAGAAACATCTCTTCGGAATAATACTGAGGGCGTCGCTCAAAAAATCATTTATCTTTTGTTTTTTGTTTGTTTTTCATGTGCAGGGGAGGAGATGGAGATAAAGAGGTTGTCGGTTAGGGGACTTCTCCCTGAGACGGACTACTACATGACGTACGACGGATCGACAACGATGCCCGCATGCCACGAGACCGTCACGTGGCTCATCCTCAACAAGCCCATTTACATCACCAAGCAACAGGTATGTTGTTCGTGTTGCCTACACTTGTATACATTCACACACACGTACAAAACTATATATATATATATAGGTTTGCGTAAAGTGCGGTGTGATTACGGGGGTGGACCGTTCTCTCTCTCTCTTTCTCGTTCCGACTCCGACACCCTCTTGTCATATGACCCTTGCAACATTCCACTCTCTTCTTTCCACCACTCAAACATACACAGCCATACATACATAAAGTTTGCACGCCGTGCGCAAACAAACGGAGCGTTACAACTCTTGTCACAACACTTCAGCCAAGAGCGCACACATGCAGTGAAAGAAGAGCGGCTCAGAGTAAAAATAATAAACAATTGGAGAGAAAGAAACTGCACGCATTCGAGTCGAGTAAACACATCTAATCCTGCAAACGAAAGACTCTTATACGTGAAATTACCATTTAAAACTTCAACGCAAACACACATTTTTTTAATGGTTTCACTACTTTTTCTACTCTAAAAAGTAGAAATATCAGTGAGTAAGAGATATTTAACATTTTTTGTCGATTTTATCTCAAAATACACTTATATCTTGTTAATAATTTCAATTAAATTTTAAGAATAATTATTTTTCTTTCAAAGTGTGTATAATACATTATTTTGTCAGGGGTGGACCGCTAACTTTGAGGGCACTGGGCTAATTTTACCTTAATTTAAACGGTTTGGAGCTTTGGTATTATATCATTTCATAACTTATAGAATTTTTATTTTTTAAACAAGTAAGTGCAATATTATAGTACTTTGCTGAATGCTAGTAAATAAACTTATGCAAGTTACTTTGCAAGTAGTAGTAGTTTGATTTATTCATTGAGCGTGTGTAGGGGCGGCCTAAACGTGTTAATCAGGCCGGTCACCATTCGTACCGATTGCTGCATGGGTGAATCATTGCCTCTTGGATTGTTGGTGGAGGAAGCGAGGCGGGGACGGCGAACGGACGCAGAAATAAATTATCTTTAAGGCATGACGAGCCGACACGCAGACTAATAAAAGCTTCATTTACACAACAATACCTGTTTAAATTATACCACTCCATCGCGCTCACACATATCGTTACAGTGCATTGTTCGAAACAGGAAAAAAATATATTTATAGAATGACCCGACTCTATGTTATGTTTCTGTTTCCAGAAACACCCGTCGTCATCCTATATTATTTTCGTACCCCGTTTGAATTACAGTGTTTTTTGTGAAAAAAAAAATACAATCACCAGACGCATAAAAATAAAGCGTCACCCTAAAAAAAACTGGTAATGTAAAATGTATCGATCAGAAGAGTCGGGAAACGGAACGAAACAAAACCGACAACAAAAATATACAATAACGGAAATTATGGATCGACGCCCGTTTTTTTTTCATTCGCGCTCGTTTTCTCCTCGCCGCTATTTCAACTTTGCACATACAGCACAACAAAAATATAAACGGAAAAGTTGAATATAGTTCACGTGCATTTTGTGTTATATATATTGGGCATTGTTGTTACGTAACATTTCTAAAGCACCTTACATATGTTTGTAGGCAACCAAATATACACACGTATTAAAAACTTTATAACAGAGGTTCCCAAACTTTTTTGTATCGTAGACCCCTTGCCATGTTTTTCGGTTTTGAATAGACTCCCTACTTACCTGATATTGATTTTTTGAAAATTTTACAAGTTCAAAATGTATTGCGACCACAAAGCGATTGGCTACATCCTACAACTTACACAATTTTATAAACATATATAATAATTTTTTTACTTCATAGGTACTTTTATAAATAATGTATATGTCTTTATATTATAAGATAGTATAATGTAAGTAAATAGGTACTATCAGTGTATGTTGAGATCCACTATCGTGGACCCCCATTTTCATTTCATGTACCCTCAAATTTTTTTTTTGCTGACGTTGACCCCTTGCAGGTTGTCGATATAGACCACTTTGGAATCACTGTTCTAAGTACTCATACCGTTTTTGAAAATTAGAAATAAAAAAAAGTTTCTTGCAGGTTGTCGTAGACCACTGGGGGTCGATATGGACCACTTTGGGAATCTCTGCTTTATAACACGAATATTAGTGAATATTAGTAAAAAAGGTTAGATTTCAATATGTATAAGATTTTTCGGTATTAATTTTATTTTAAATTTATTAATGTGTTACAAAAATACAAGATATAATGACTGATTCAATTAAAATCATTGTATTTGGTTAATGCGTCAAATTAGGTTAGGTTAAGTCAAACTTTACATTGATCTATTTTTCTATTTCCATTTAGAAACACAAAACCTGCATTCATCATTATCCTTTTGATAATGCTATTTTAACTAATCCGTGTTGATTTAATCCATTTTCTGCATCGATTTCTTTTTTAACAAGTTTCAAAAATTAATTGGGTTTAGAAATCAATCTTTCCGGTCAATTGTTTCCGTTCCTCTTCCTTTTTGCCTCTTCTTTCTTTTCGTTTCCTTTCTTCTTACGAAAATGAATCCATTACATTTGCGCCAGGTACCGAGAAGACAAATTTCCATGGGATACAGGTACGATGATAAAGGCGTCGTCGCCCCCTCAACTCCTCTCTCCCACTCAAGTTAATTATAGGTATTGCACGAGCTTTGGCCGTCCATAAATTAAGGCGACGATGTTTATCTCACGTTTTCTTGCACGGCCGCCCGTGACTAATTATACGGAGGCTGCGCCGCCGCCCCTCGTCCCCAAAACGTACCAGTCCCTCTACCGCCACTACCTCCCTCACAAGAGGAACGCGCGCGCCCTAATCTCGCGCCGCGATAAGCAAGAACTGTTGACACATTTCATTTGCTAATTACGTTTATATTATATGAAATTAAATTAGCATCGACCGAGCTGTGCTATATTTACTGCAGACTTGAAAAAAGAAGCACCATCCACTTGGTATCATCATCATCAACGAACATTTAGATATATACAAAATTATTATTTTTTTAGATCTCGATAAGATATTTGAGCTTTCGATTTGCTTAATTAGTATTGATAGCAGTAATGATGCTTTTCGGAGGATTCGATGGACAATTCCGCAGTTGCATCGAGCACCTCCCTAATTACGCTCTCCCACTTAATCCGAACGCGTATTCGTTTCAATTGCGGCGCTCATTAAGCATTCAAAATCATCATCCGCACTGAACCCGTCAAGTGGATTAGGAAGATGTATTATCCCTCTTAATACGCACAACAAAGCTCCAGTCACAGGCGAATTAAGCGCAGCGCCCTACTAATAGATAGGTGATTTGTATCCTCTTACATAACACAAAGAACAAATTCGATATTTTAATAAATAACAAAATTAACATTTGCTCTCTTATTCGAATATCTTGTACAACTATTTCTTATGCTTTATAAAATTTTAAAAAAAATCTTGGCCAGATTTATTTATGTCCTTTCTTTTTAATATTATGAAGTATATCTACGTTATTTCCATTACTACGGTATTTATTTATATTAATATTATTTTTCTTTCTTGCATTACAATTTTATTTGATGCTGTTTTCTTTTTTATGAATGTAATTTCGATTTTGCTTTTTCTGGTCAATACAATTCTATTTTAAATTATAAAAAAATAAGAGTCAATGTAGAAATCTGGACAAGGCGTCACGCAGGTTTTGAATGATAATACCTAAAGTACTAGAGTGTATATTGAAAAACATAAACGTGCCAAAATCAATTTCTAAAATTAAACCAAAATCAATCCAGGAAAATCTATAATTCACAACACGGGTTACGCTTTTTTAGTGTCATCTGAAATCTGCTACGTAATGTTTATTGCATAGAATAGGAATTTTACAAACCGAGAACAAAACGAATCTAAAAACTAGTACTAGTAATGGATAAATGTGCATTGCCATTGCAATTTATGAATTACCCTTGATGTCCTATGGGGCCCTATGCGTTATTTCACCCAACCTGCACGGCTGCATATATGAATGCAGGTCCCGGATCGATAGACTAATTTCACCCAGCTGTCTGTACACAAAGAGAAAAATTTCAAATTAGAAAATGGAACAAACGAAAATTTCTGGATATATGATATTTATATAAAACTTACAAAAATAATAATTGATACGTCTGGTTTTATTATAGGCATTTCATATTACAAAGAGTCAAATTAGATATTGTTTTATATTACAATTCCATATCAAATTTCATAAATATTCAATTTTCTTTATGCTAAAATTGCAATTTACAAAGTTGAATTATTGTTAAAGCTATTTTTATATTCATTTGTTAATAAATTTATTTTTTAATTAGAAAATTTAATCATAAAATATGTGAAAATTATAATTATATTCTATATGTTTTGAACGAATGATCAAGTTGCGCGGATAAATCAAACACGATCTCAAGTATTAACATTGAGATAATTTTCATACTTATTTCAACTCTAGTTACTAAATTTCGCTAAATCTAGGATTGTTGCGCTTAAACAATATAAATATTACAATTTTATTTTATTCTTACTAAAAAAGATAAATCACATAAATAAATTTGACTATAAAATCATGGATGTAGATGTCTTAAATTTAAAGCAACTGTTTGTTTTCGTTTACATATTTCGCGTGGAGCGTTCGTTATTTAGATTCGAGCATGTGTGCTCGTGGAAGTGGGAATAAATTGAAACGTACTACGTGCGAATTGGTCCTAAATGTATTCAGCGCGAAAGTAGTAACGCTGTAAATATAATTCCGCCTCTGACAACACGTTTCCGTTTCCTGTGGGGAACGGGGGACGGCCGAAAAGCGGCGGGAGATTTATTTAGAGGGGCGGCGGTGAGTCAAGACACCACCGGCAGCGGCAGCGTTTCCTGAAAACCGAATGCTATGCAACTCCCCTTTCACTCTTCCAACAACTTATTTCTTAATATCGATGATTTGCATAAGGCAAATGCAAGGAATTCTTGCACTGCATACAACTAATTTGCATTATGGATTGAGCACTTATCAACGACAATCTGAAAATAATGCTAAATTTATTATATTATAAGTACATTTACGGCAATTTGTTTACATTATTCAAAGAAACTTAAGTTTTGTCAATTATCTAAGTTGCTATAACGATAAAATTAAACAATGGAAATGTATGCAACCCACTTTACAAATTTTATTGTCATTTAAAATATTGTACAACTCAACCAAACAACAACAAAAATGCGGATAATAATAGTAATACTAATAAAAATGAATAAAAAAAATAAAAGAAATATGCGCACAGCAAAACAAACTACACTTACATAATGTTTATCAAGAGAGCAATAAACAGAATGAGGTACAAAAAATATACACTGTGTGGAAATGAGGAGAAAAAATGGGGGAGCCGGTTGCAACGAGAGAAGTAAAATGTAATTTAATCCATTTCAATCTCGCGCTGTTTGCAGTTTCCTCGTCGTCTCTGTTTGTCCAGACGTGGATTAAATACGTGGACATATTTAATCTTATCATTGTTGTTTGCCGTACATTTCTGCTTTCCTTTCCAGATGCACGCACTGCGAAGGCTGATGCAAGGACACGCGATACACCCGAAGGCCCCGCTTGGCAACAACTTTCGGCCACCGCAGCCTCTCCACCATCGTCCGGTCAGGACCAATATTGACTTCAACGTCAAGCATCCAGCGGAAGTGAGTCACAACTTATACTAATGTCTAAATCCAATCGTGATAATATGATTCAACTAAATATGTTATTAATCACATTAAAACACATAAAAATATCAAATTAAAAATTGGAGGTGGTAGGATGTATACTAAATAGATGTCTTTTATTTATCAAATATTTTAAACTAGCGAATTAAACATTCTTGATTTATCTTAAGAGTTAATAATATGTGTATCAGTACACCAATTTTATTTAAATATAAATATAAGATATAAATATGGAGGTGTTGTGTCCGTAGTAAATGATTTTGTTCATTTTTCTGAATAATTATTTGCAATTTGATTTTTTACTAGCACATCTTATAAAATTGTGTTATTTTAAATTATAGAAATGCATGACTATCAAATGCGGAAGTGTTGTAAATATATTTATATCATTTCTTATAAACAGATGATAACTAAACTTTATAATTCTTAGTAAATAAGAGAGTAGAAAGTAGAGTAGAAGAGTTAGTATTATTTAAAAATGATATTTTTTGAGAGGAGTTGTATCCATAGTAAATAGTTTTGTTTATTTTGCTGATAGATCATTGATATTTTGGTAGTCCTAACAAAAAAAACCTAAAAAAATTAAAATAAATGTTTATCGAATATGAGGCTATGTTGTGCTCCTCAAAAAATATCTATTTTTTAACGCGTAAAGTATGAAGGGTTCGGATCACCTTTAAAATAGTCCCATTGAAATCCGCGACAATAGTTCATTGTGAAAACTGTGAAGGGTCCAAAACGCTCCTACGAAAAGGTTATCCTGCTGACATAAATACACGTTAATGCTGCCGCTTAAATATCGCACTTTCTTGAACTCTCTCTCCCCAAAATGCCAATCTATTCCAGGAACAGCGTACGAATCGATTTTTATTATTTACTCTCTATAATTATGTCACTTCATATGTTTACTAGAAGAAAAAAAATGTTTGTTTGAAAAATAAAACTTGAATTGAAATTGTTGTCGGTTAAACTTTGGATGCAGTCGAGAGCCTGAGATTACGCTTCATTTAATATTCATCTGCTGATTTCGCCGCAAATTTACTTACTTAATAATGCAACTTTGCATCATTACATATAAATTAGACACTCGAAATGAATCCGCGCATATTGTGTATTCCACAGTTACTGCTTCCGTTGTTGTTGTTGTACTTCTGCTTGTTTGCCGACGTTATGCAGAGCGGGTGGTGGAGTCGTTTCTTTGCTTTTGTTATGCGAGTATCATGGGGGAGTGGGAAAATTCGGATTCTTCCACAAGCTTGATTGTTTTCCGCTTGGATTTGTTGCATCCGCAATGACAATTTGAGTGCGCGATGCTCCGAATACAGATAACATCAAGATCACGACGTCAAAATTGAAGTCACAATAGTTGACATAACATCTGCTTTCTTTTGAAGCGATTTATTTTTATGCACTACTTGCTTACATTCTTAAATAAACTAATAATAATTTGACACAACACCTCCTTTTGAAATAATTTCAGTTTACACGTTATTTGAGAAAAATTTATAATTATTTTTTAATGGACAACATAAAAAATATATTGAAAATTTCAATAATTTAAACAGCATCTCCTCCAATGGAATAACTTTCTTATACCGTTGTTTATTCAGAAACTATTAATAATATAATATTAGTTATATGAATGTTAAAAGCAGGAGATTAATATAAAAGAAGTTAAATAATGTTGGGTTGACACAACACCTCCACTTTTATAATTATTTGTTTAGAAACTATTTGATGTCAATCCTTATATTTACATCCAACATTAGATGGGGAAGATGATGCAATATTAATGCTCCCCCAATTATCGTATTCCCATCCACCTATTGTTAATAGATTAGGTAATGGATGCTGCTGCTGCATCACAGGAGACCGCGGCGGTGCGAAATCGATCGATATTATTATTAGTGTTACCTAATCGCAAGATGCTTAAGCCATCCATACATTGTGTAGTAATAAGATTAACATGAATCATCAAGAACCACCTGTCCAAACACGAATATTACCATAACACACAGGTCGTGAGGTGTGGGTTGGGGGCTGTAGCAGACTTACCCGCATTCGATGAACGGGATTACATTATTATCATATGTAAATATCTGGCATGCTTATATATTAATTAACCCGTACTAAACGCTAGATAATTAATATTGCCTGGGAACGCGCCAAGCGGACGGAAGTCGATCGGAAATATGGAAATAACGACGATAAACAAGGCGGCGTAAGCTACGCTCCAAATGAAAACAACATTTTCGAAAGTTGAAATTATAAACGCAGATACAACACCTCCTTTTTTATGTATAAACAAATTAAATTGTATGTAGTTTTGTAATCAATTTGTTTGCGTTTCAGGGAGGAAAGGTGTGTCCTAGCATGTACAGAGATGTCCACTATAAGGCGAACAGTTGGAAGCAGCACTAAGAGATTTCCGGCGGAAACAACCAAGAAGAAGACAAACATATAACGAAAGTGAAATATCCTCAACCATATCATCCGGGCTATACAATTATAAATATATTAATTAAATAAATAAATTAAACAAAAAATATGAAGAGAAAATATGTATATCAAACGTAATTTTAACGCGTGATTTGACTGATTCCGCAGTGCGTCGAAACTACGGGAAATAAAATTGGTTTGACGAAAGGATTATTAAAAAAAAACACACATACACATATCATATTTTGCAAGTAAACGAAAGAACCCTGAGGGCAATTAAGCAAATAAATAATTGAAAAATAAAATATATTAAAAAAAAAAAGAAATGCAAAGATATAATAAACGTAAATTAAACTAAAGAATCCTTAGTGAATGAGATCCAAAATAAATAAATAAATTTTATTGCATATTTGCGCGACTATTGTATAACGAGGAGACGACGAAGACGTTTGGGAGCGAAGAAAACGACTGATGAAGAGGAAGTTTGGAAACGTGATGCTTTAATGTAAGTGTAAACTCGAATGGAATCACTCGGAGGAAGATGAGAAGAGAATCATACCATTTAGATGATAATTACTAGGCGATAAGGAAACATGTAGATACAAAAATAATAATAATAAAAATGTGGAAGAGTAATCGATTGAGAGGAGGAAAAAAATATATATGTATATGAGATTCGAGGATGATGATCGAATATTTTTTGTTGTTGATTTCTTTTTGTGTGTGATTGGGTTCGTTCGTTCTATCGCTTTCGTTGATACAAGATGTATAAAAATTCGATGGGAAGATGTGAACGAACGTTGCGGCCGCTGTTCGATTACGAAACGAGTTTGTTGCTTATTTCTAGTCGGTTAGTGTTCATTATAATTATTATTATTCTCGATTATGTTCCATTATTGATGAATGTATATAAATAATTAATGCTTAATAAAAATAATTATGTTTGTATGCAATTTCATCGTTGCTTTTTTCTTCCCTTTATTATAATTTAAAAAAAATATAAATAACAGATAACAATCATAAACAGCTCTTATTGAATTTTCAAAGTAAGTATAAATTTAGTTTTAGTTGTATAGGTTGGGCCAACATGGACAGTTTTAAAATATTTATAATTTTTAAGCTTGCTTTTTTAATTTTTTTTATTGTATATTATAAATAATTTTAAGAAAATTTATAATGGCTACATACTCAGAGCTAGAACGGATCAAAATTATAGAATTTTATTATGTTTCTTGTATTATTACAACGCACAAAAAATACCGTGCACATTTTAATGTTCCAACAGTTCAAACATGATTTGAAACTCAATCAGCCATTTTTAGGAACAGCGTGCAGTATGTGATCGTCAACGATGAAATATTCATCATACTGTTCTCAATGAAGAAGCTGTGATGGCTGTACGACAGAGTGTCAACGATGATGGATCTGTGTCTACACAGTTGGGCATCTTCAGAACATAGCTAAGATGAATATTGAAACTTGATTTGTAGATATTCATAATAATCGTGAAGAAATATAAAATTTGTAGCACGAAATGCTATTATTTGAAATGATATTATTTTCCACATTTAAATCAGAAAAATCTAACAAACTGTACTTTCATTTAGAAAAAATACATTTACAATAGTTATATCTATTTTAAGTCAGTCAGTCAAAGTTGTTCTACCCTGTACAATAACAATTTGCTTTCAAAACTAAGTAGTTACAAAATATTTGAAATTTTAATCTGTATTTTACATGTATGTATATTGTATTTTACATTATTAAATTTATCTTATTTTATGAATTTACATTATTTTGTTTATTCTTAAAATAATAACAATAATATTTATTGGAACAACCATAATACAAGCTCAACAAAATAACATAAGAAAAATGAAACTAAATAGAATTCTTGCAAAAACTACAGACCATAAGTCTATCTGGCTTGTTTATTTATTTTTATTGTTTATATTTATTTAGGTTTTATATTTATTTTCTATATATTTAAAAATAATATTTCCTGTTCCCTGTTTGTCGAAACCATTGTTAACTCCAGTCTTCTCTCCTTCATTTTCCAAAATCCGGATCCTTCTCCAGAAATCATCTCCGAATTCCATTCACTTATGTCTTCCACGGTTATTCAGCACTCCCCCAAAATCAAAATAACACCCTACAACTACTCCCTTCCACCCTTCATCCTTCGATTATTAAAAAAAGAAACTGCAACTTTATATATATATATATATATTTCCCTTCTGTTGTTCATTGTATATTATTATTCTTATAATACTGATATTATTTCATAATAATTTTTATGTTCCCGGGCGGAAAGACCTCGGTCGCTAGCCCTTTGGTCAGCCTATTAATATATATTTTTTATTGTATGTTAAAATTTATTTATGTATAAATTGTACTTTTTTTTTCTTCTTCTTATGTATCGATGTTTGGCCAATAAATTATTATTATTTATTTTTGTATTGTTATTATCTAGTCAATAAATTTATTATAAGAAATTTACACACCACTTCCTCTCTTTTTTTTTTATACAAATTACATGTTTCTTTTTTGTATTAATATAAATCATTTCAAGTTAATATTACTTTATCAAGTAATTTTACTACAACAGTTTTTTACAGGTAGTTTTTTTTTTAATTATGAAGGTACTTCATCAATCTTTCGGAAACACGTTTCGGTTTGTGATTATCTGTCAAATTTCCTTCTTTTGCAATGCCAATAAATGCACAGCACATCGGTGGTTAGAGAAGTTTCGCTCTGGCGATTTTGATCTTCAAAATGAACTAAGTGGCGACCTGACAGCAATGTGGATAATGATGAGTTGAAAGATGTAGTGGAAGCGGATACATCTCAAACTATGCTTGAATTATCAATTAGGTTTGACGTTACTTTTCCAACATTCTTAAGGTTAAGAAGAATGTCAGACGCAAAATCGTTTCGAATCTTTCCCTTCTTTGCTTAAGACATGAAGGCAAATCATTTTTATATCTCAAGCTTTCGGTACAATCATTCAATAACAAAGTGTTGCCAAAACACACTTCAAAACCAAATATTCACACAAAAAAGCTTATGGTGTCTATTTGGAGGTCCAGCGTTGATGTTACACTACAGCTTTGTGAGACCTAGTCAATCGATTACAGCGTTTGTCTACTGTAACCAAATAGATAAAATGAGAAGGGAGCTTGGGATTAAGCATCCGATATTGGTGATTAGAGACAGGCCAAACATCTTGCAGGACAATGCTCGAAAGCAAGTCACACGAATAACGTTGCTCATACTTCAAAAGCTAGCCTTGTAAACTCTCTGATACCCACTATATTTCTCAGACCTTGGACCAACTAACTAAAACTGTTTCCAGAGATTGTACCACTTCTTACAAGGAAAAATATTGAATTTCCAACAAGTTGTAAAAACCCTTTCTGCAATTTGTCACCACTCTGTTTTAAGGTTTTTTTCCCTGTCGCCATTAATAAGCTACCGTTAAGATGGCAAAACTATATTGATAATTTAACCACATACTTTGCTTAATTATACTATTTCTTGTTTGAAATAAACCAAAATTTTAATTATAAATCGGACGTAATTACATTTACAACTTAATTTCTGATACATTAATTAATTTACATAGTACACCTACCCTCATTTTACATTGTTCTTTCTTTACACGTTTTCGATTATACAGAATTTTAGTATAAAATAAATAAAAAATAAATGTTGAAATAACCTATCCTATGCGCTTTTTCATATTTTTCGATTTAGACAGTTTTACATTCAAAAAGTTACAATTTCGATTTACACCTCAGGAATCTATCAACCGTATAAATCATATTACGAGATTTATTTAAAAAAAAGGATCTAATTACAGATAAAAAACGCAACTTAACAATTTTACACTCAGATTACGTAAAATCACATTTGTTTCAATAGCAATGTAATTTTATCATTATCTGTAAGTAGCGTAAAAGTGTATAAAGATGACGCTGATGTTGTTTTTGTGATTATACAGCGTTGCTATGCAAAACGTACAATAGACTATGCATGATGTGAAATGCATCATTTCAACTTAGTTTACAACATGAAAAAAAAAACTCTGAGATGAGGATAAAAAATGTCAATTGATATTGGATTCAAAGTATAATTACTTTCCACGTAAAAACGCGGAATGGAATACATTCGCATACCGGATTTATTGCGGCCGTGCTGCTTTTAATTAAAAATTTGCTTGACATATATGCACATATAAAGATATAAAGGGAGAGAGTGCAAAAAAATATCGGTACTAATTAAAAGTTTTCGCGGTAGTTTTTGATCTGTCGACCAGGAATACTAATGCCGGTAGATTGCAGTGTTTCACTTGAAACAGTTCTCATTCTAGCAGGATTCTATAGGATAGGTATAATGCGTGCGAAACGTAATTAGAGCTGCAATATTGCTGTCTGGAATTGGCCGCGCGCCGAACCGGAAATGGGAATCAATCGAACGGCGGCGACATCGCAACATGCGGGAATTCTCCTATTCCCGAGGTGACGGCTGCGCCACCCTCTCCAACGTGTGTCCCGTCGGTAATGGGATGACAATGCAGGAAATTAAAATTTACGCGAAACCGCACGGGTCAACAAGGATCTCTCGCGGTGACGAGATGATTTGGCCGCAATGTTCGATGTCGAAACGACGGTGGTGACATCTATAGTTATAAATGGTACCATCAACGTTACGCTCAGGTGTATTGGGTACATTACACCTGCATTGCATGGAATTACACTTTCGACGTCAATCGGCTTGTTTAGATTGTTGTCGGACACAACACGTCCCACATCAAATATTTCAAAATGAATCCAATTTAATCATGTGAATTTGAACAAAACCAACCAAAACCAAATTGAATACCATACGAATACCAATACAAATTAATAAATGTATGTCATGTATTCTCATTTGCACTAACCAACGAGACAAACGACGTTTTCTTCTGCTCACATAAAAATGCAAATATCATTAATCAAATATTAAACGTTCGCATTCTTTAAACGTTAGAAATTTTAAAAATAAATTTGAAATTTAATAACAAAAATTTCACATATGTCTTGTAGTTCACTTCTTAACTTTTGAAAAGGCCACAAATTCCTAAGTTTCTAGACCCAAGTGGGACCATACAAAAAAAATGTAAAATGTATATGTAACAATAAAAATTGATATGCATAAAAACAATCCATACATAGTTTTTTTT